ATAAGGTCAAACCCATTCTGGATACTCCTCCCCCCACTATGAGAAGAGGCGTATCAGGTAAGTACCAACGCCCTTTTTCCACTTTTAATGTCAATACTTTTTAATTCTATTTTAATGTTAGTATTTTTTAATATAGTGTAAAAACAAATGTATATTGCTGGTCTTTGATCGTAATAAAGATCTTACTTACTTCAGGTGGGCTTTCATCTAGCCACTCTTCTATAAAGTCCAGATTGATGAACAGCTGCAGTGATGGCTGTCCTTCTAGAACTCTCACATCTCCACACAGGATCTCTGGAGTTCAGTCAGAGTGACCATCAGGTTCTTGGTCATTTCTCTTATTAAGGCACTTCTCCCCCGATTGCTCAGTTTGACTGGGTGATCAGCTCTTGGAAGAGTCCTGGTTGCACCAAACGTTTTCCATTTGAGAATTATGGAGGCCACTGTGCTCTTAGGAACTTTCAGTGCAGCAGAAATTTTATTGTAGCCTTCACCAGATCTGTGGCTTTCAATAATCCTGTTCTGACCTCTGCAGGCAGTTTATTTGACTTAATGGCTTTTGCTCTGCTACAGTATGCATTGTCCATTGTGAGGCCCTCTATAGAGAAGTGTGTGTCTTTCCAAATCATATCCAATCAATTTAATTTACCACAGGTCACTTGGCACATCACTATGTGAAAAAGTATACTTCTGAATAAATACCTAGACACTCCCCAATTTATATAATATTCTATGTTACATTAAAACTAAATAACCCATGTAAACATTGACTTAAATAACAATGTTTATATGAGTCATGTATTTATACCCATATACTTTTTGGTCTGCGTTGAAGACAAATTTTAATGCAGTTTGAAATTTTTAGAAATGGTTTATATGCCTTAACTTATAAGTCAGCTCTAAGAAACTAATAAAAGATTGTCTTCTAAGATTGCTACATCAAGGTTTTCATAATCCTTGTATAATAACCATGCAAAAAGTTTACCATGGTTTTAACATTGTTTTAATTTTTGTCTTGTTTGTGGAGGTAAAACTATATTTGCCATTTTGGATGTTTGTATTCCAAAACACACTATTAAATACACATGTTCTCAAAGTCAGACTGAAAGAGCAGGCATAGCAACAGTGTAATTGCGTGTTTCTGAAAACATAGGAGGAATTACCTCATAATGTTTTAGAGAGAAAAAACAACATTGTGGTGCAAACTGTTCATTTGGCTTATGGGCACTATTGTAGGCACCACCAAGGAATATGTAGAAAAGGAATAGGAATGCTGCTCTTTTCTTTGATTCCCTTTGTCCTCCCCAATGGGTTAGAGTAGCAAAATTGATTCCTTTTGAAAATTCTTAACAATCATGCAACTTTTTAATGTCTGACTTTTATGCCTGTTTTTCTTGATGTCATAATTACCTTTCCGTTTTGTTCCTTTGTTTCTTCTAGCTTTGATTATCTGAACCTGCCTTTTTTGTAGTTTGGGTTATAAGTAGAAATAGTAAATTGTACTGTAATTGATTAATGTGCTTTTCCATCTTTTAATGTTTTCATTTGGCCATCAGTTGCTGGGCACAGTATTTATTAATCAAATTTGTATTACTGTCCACCTTGCAAAAAGGCTACCTGATAATTTAAATTATGATGAGAATAAATACTTACTTCTCTAGAAGAGATCAAAAACTTTTATTTTTCAACAAACTGTCTTGTTCTTAACAACCCTACTTCACAACCAAAATTTAAAGAAAATGAAGAAAAGGGATCTTAAAAGCATTTTTCTCATTTTCTTAGCCCACTGTTACTTTAGGTTTACTTTTAAACACTAAATCTAATGTTTTATTGTCAATGTCTGCAAATGTGACATTTTAATTTTATTTTAAAGATTGAACATTTTTGTTAAACTGTTACTAAATGTAGTTAAGACTACAAAAGTCTGTTATATCCTTGCTAAATTGAATATGTGTCTTACAGATATGCAAGCCTCTATTTCTGCTGTGCCATTGAAGATCAGGATAATGAGTTAATAACCTTGGAAATAATTCATCGTTATGTAGAATTACTTGATAAATATTTTGGAAGTGTAAGTTATTTCCTGTATTTTTTTCTAGTTTTTAAAAGTCTCAGAGGTAGCAGGAAGTAGCAGAAAGATTTCTCTCACACTTGAATAAAGCACATCAACAAAATCATTTCCCATAAAACAGCATAAAAAGTAGTGGTTACCTAGTGGGAGAGGAAAAAACCCGACAAAAAACTGTTCTGAATTCTTCAGGGAAATCTCTGTTGTAGGGATGAAATATTTTTCTATATTTTCATGGCAGAAAATTGAAATTTTGAAATTTGAAAATATGCAGTGTGTACAGTTTACAAAATGTCATCATGAGTATGATCAGTTACAAAACATCAATTTACCAATTTAATGGAAGTGGCTTCCTCCAAATCTCCAATTCTTTACCCCAGTGTACTCTCTGTATTCAGAGATTACTACAAATCTGACTGGTGCCTTGCTTTGCAACTCTTTATTTAATTTTTTATTTAATTTTTTTAAAATAAAAAGTTGGATGGCCAATTGCAAGCAGAGTAAGACGAATGTTTTCCATTATAAATGCTTTTCATTATGTCTTGTGGCTAAAGAAGATTGTCAGGGTTTATAGAACAATTAATAAAAGATATTTTTGATTAGTTCATAGTTATTTTGCATTTTGCCTTTAAATGCTACTTTACTCAAATATTCATAATTTTCTCCCTTTATTTGGTCCAAAATTGATAATACAAAAATGTATTTATGTAGACCAGGCCTGTCAAACTTGTGGCCCTTGGACCAGATACAGCATGTGCAGGCCACGCTCACTCCAGCACGTGAAGGCAAAAAATATAGTGATACGGCCTGCGATGCAAACTGATTTGACACTCCTGACGTAGGCTGTAGGTTACTCAAGATCTTGCAGCTGCTGATTAGATTGACAGTCAAATTAAAAATGCAATACAGGTAGTCCTTGATTTACAACACTTCATTTAGTGACCACTCAAAGTTACAACATCACTGAAAAAAGTGACTTATGACCATTTTTCACACTTACAAATATCACAGCATCCCCATGGTCATGTGATCAAAATTCAGATGCTTGGCAATTGGTTCATATTTATGACAATTGCCCTGGGATTATGTGGTTCTCCCTTTGCGACAAGCAAAGTCAATGGGGAAACCAGTTTCACTTACAACTGTGTTTACCAACTGCAGTGGTTCACTTAACAATTGTGGCATGAAAAGTTGTAAAATGGGGCAAAACTCATTTAACAAATGTTTCACTTAGCAACAGAAATTTTGGGCTCAATTGTGGTCGTAAATTGAGGACTGCCTATATTACTATATTACTAAGATAACATCAGTAAATATCAAATAGATGTAATCAATAAATTAATAAACTAATGAATTACTAATGAATAAATTGCTAATCAATTAGCCATAAATAAGCTAATTCAAGGATTGAATGCACAGGGACAAAACACTTTAGCTAGTTTGCAAAATGCCAAGAGTGTTGCAGAGGTGGTGGTCATACATACTTCTGGATGGGAAGCATTCCATTGATAGTTTCAGAGAAGTCCTGTTTGGGCATTGCATATTTCTTTTTTAATGTTTTGTAGGTCTGTGAACTTGATATCATCTTTAATTTTGAGAAGGCTTATTTTATTTTGGATGAATTCCTCTTGGGAGGAGAAGTTCAAGAGACCTCCAAGAAAAATGTTCTTAAAGCCATTGAACAGGCAGATCTATTACAAGAGGTATACAATTTTTGCTTCTTTGTTAAAGCACACCAGCATGCTGGGCTGATGCACATTATTTTGTTCTATTTCTTCCAAGTTGCAGAAAAGCTTTTCATCACTTTTACCATATAATGTTTTTTTATATATATATTTATGCTGCTACACAATTATATTCATATAGATCTAGCCACTTCACTGTTCAACTTACATTTTGCCTTTTTAATTAATTGAATGATTGAGTACGGTATTTTTCGGATTATAAGAGGTACCTTTTTCTCTCAAAAAAGAGGGTGAAAATCTGGATGCTTCTTATATACTGAATACAGCATTTTTGGCCTCCAGAAACCCCGCCCGCTTCACCAAAATGGTTGTGCATAGCCTTTAGAAGGCTTCCAGAGTGCTTTTGGGGGGTGGCGAGCGCAAAAATGAGCGAAAAATGGGGCATTTTTTGCTCAATTTTGCCCCCCAGCCCCCAGGAGCACTCTTTAAGCCTCCTAAAGGCTGTGAATGCCTTTTTTTTTTGACAAAAAATGGTCCCATTTTCACAAAAAAATGGACCATTTTTGGCTCGATTTTGCCCCCCCAGCTCCCAGGAGTATGCTATGTCTAAAGGCTATTCATGCCCTTTTTTTGACAAAAAGCAGGCCCGTTTTCACAAGTTCTGCAAAGTGCAAAAACTTTTTTTTTAATTTGCCTATTTAAAATCTTGGTGCATCTTATACTCTGAAAAATATGGTAATTTTGTCATTTTGTATGCCTCTTTAGTTTTTTCATTGTTGAAATCCAAAAAATAAATTCTTTTTAAAACCCTTGTGGTATTATTAAGTGTTTTCTTTAAAAGTCATTTTGCTATAGCTATGTAATTTGATGAGTAGTAAGTGTTTATCAAATAGTTTTAATACTAGTCTTACAACTGCACTAAGGATTGGAACTATATTTGATCTGGTAATTAGTCCATAATTTTTACTTTTTCTGTTGTGTAGTACCTAAAACCTCTTGCCCTAAAGTGATTTAAAATTTGAATTTGGATTAGTAGTAGCTGAAATATATTTCTTTATTTCTTATTAATTTAGGAAATGTGTTTCCTGTTTATCCAGGTTTGGTGACAGAGCAGTAAATAATGCCTTTTTCATCATTCTTTCATACCTATACTCTTTAAATTACAATAACACTTATATTAATATATTGTGATAAAATGAGTTTTGAGTATAGCTCTGTCATGTTAGCAAAGTCAGTTTTTGTATGTTGCTTTAGGGAAATTGTGCTTGGCTTACTATGTAAATAAAAACAATTGGGTTTTTTTTTTGCCATCATTACATGGGATATGTTAATCGATGTATTTTATTTTATTTTGATCTCTCATCACATTCTGTCCCTATATTTATCAGTTGAAATTCTTAATATAGCTATTTAAGGGAAATAGTTATATTTGCTAATAAAATATGGCTTTCTTGGAAAGTAGCTGTTCTAGAAGGAGCTGATTATTTGAAAGCTTTAGTTATTTAAAACATTTAAACATTAATGACAAAGTGGAAGTTTTCCCACGTGTAAGTTATTAACATAGTGGCCTATCACAGATATTGGCAGGAAAAAAGACAGAAAATTTGCATGTTTGTCTGCTTCAGGGAAGATGTTCAAGTTATCTTGAGGAATGCTATTGTCCTGAGGAGAATCAAGGAAAGGACAGAAGGTCAGGAATTGTTACAAAATTCACAAGAAAATCTCTACTTCTACAGCTCAGTGATTTAGAAAAAAGTTAATTATGTGATATGCTAACTATAATAGAAGGAATTTTAATGAAATAAGCTAATAATAATAATAGTAATAGCCTTTATTGTCATTGTACAGTATGTATAGTATGAAATTGGTTTAGCCTCTACTGGTGCAATCCATAACAGAAAATACAAGACAACATGAATAGTATAAAGAATAATCCTTATTCAAGTAATTGGGAAAATAGTCATATGTTTCCATATGTATGCTGAGTGATTGTGATTGTATTTGGGAGTGTGACAGCCCAGGGGAGAAGCTGTTTTTAAACCACTTTGGCTGGCTGGCTATACTTCAATATCTTCTGCTCGATGGTGAAAGTGAAAAGAGACACTGGCCAGGGTCTAAATAACCATACTATATATTGTATTCCTTTTAAAAGTCTTTGTAGAAGAAAAATATTCAAAATATTCTGTATGTAAAACCTGTGACAAATCTGTAGCTTCTGTTCTTATTCTTTTCTCACAGAAATTAATTGTACATTCATCTGCTGAAGGTGTTTTTAAAGTAATAAAATTGTCACTGAATTCATTTATATACTTAAGGAGTGTCTGAATAATATGTATTCTTTTTTCATCTGGATTGCATTTGTAACCACATACTTCCCTTGTAGTCTTGAAATATATCTATTGGATTTCTACTATATTAATAAGGGACTGCTAGTCTTAAAAGTTTAAAATTAATAAGTATTTAACTTGATCTCTACTTAATACATTTTATTCCTTTGATGTAAATAATATGTGCATTATATTCAGTGACACCTTCAGTAAAATAAAATACTATTTATGCAAAATTAGACAAAGACAGATTTGTGTCAGGTACAAGCAACCAGAGCCACATGTGTAGAGTTCAACTAACTACTTAATTGAATTCTGCCAAAATAGAGGAATCTCCACAGACTGCTTGCCTTTGTTTGGTAATAGATAAATTGCCATGGAGCTTGGAAGTGGAAGATCAGTCTTGAATCTCTTATTGCTGTGCAACAATTCAAGGCTAATTCCCCCACTTGAACCTTCTTCCCTGTCTGCCTGGGCATTTCCCAACAATTTGCTTATCTCATATTGTTCATTAATACTATATAATCTTCCCTCTTAAGAACTTAAGAAAGATAATTTGTTTTTTGACACTGTTTGATGGACTTTATTGGCAATCACTTAATTACAGGGATAAAACTTAAATGTTTATCAATGAAGTATAAGCATAAATTAAGGACAACAATTTTCTTATTTGGGCATTATTATTATCATTATTAGTAATATAATGAAATTAATTTTAAAATGTTATCATCCCTAATAACTACATGTTTAATATGATCTTGAAATGAAGAACATTTTTCACTGCAACTTTATTTTGTTAAATTGGTATATTATTGGTTACTGGATTTTTTGGCCAGGTCTGCAGGTAGACCCACTTGCAGAAGCAGGAATTTGTATAATACCATGTTTACCCACAAGGTAAAATTCTGCTCAAATGTAGGAATGATTTGTAAATACTTATTCAAGATAATCCATTAAGCTGGCTCTATTTAAAATACTAATGAATATCTGGTTCTGACACACTAATTGTTTTTTGTGTGAGAAAAGCTGAATTGGAATCATAATAAAGAGCTGAAAATATATGAGGAAAGTTACAATGGAGGAAACAACATCTTAGGAACGTAACCGTTCCTTAGTTATTCCTACAAGCTGATACTCTGATACAGCTGAGGAAAGAAGTGCAAGTAATAAACACAGGCATTCTAAGTGCGAAAGCTAAATCAAATAATAATATATTTGATATAGTAAAAATAGTTTTAGTCAAAATCCTATATATAATTAGGTACTTAAACAAATGGGGGAAACTCAGTACTGTGTTATATTTTTATAACTAATGTAATAATGTTGCATCTAATTTAGCTAGATTAGTCCATATAAAATTGTGACTTTATCACTCTCATACTAGTAATTCTAGTTACAGAAAACTAAAGGATAATGTGTAAAACCAGGTAACAGAGAAGAAATTTCTATGTTGGAGGTTGAATTGTACTTGTGCATATTGTCATAGTTTTTCTCATTTATCTTATTTCTATCACTCTGATAGCTACATACAATTGATATAGTAGTGATATAAAATTCAACCTTAGGAATGTAAACATGTTGCTTCATTAATATATATGCTGAATGTCTGCTTAAAATCAATTAATTGGGCACTGATAGTCAGTACCTGATTTTCGGAGAAGTTGTACATCACTGAATCTCATTCATAATGCAGGAAACGTATGTAGAAAAGAGGTATAATCTCAATTGCAAACTTTGGTTTTGCAATTTGTCACCAGCCTTAGATGTTTGGTGTTTCAACTTCAATCACAGAATTTTTAAAATATGCTAAGGACATTGCTAAAGCTGTTTCTTTCCATTATTTCTCATATTTTACATTGTAGTTTCTTAAAGTAAATTTAGATACAGTGCTGATAGACATCGATAGTTGATAAATAATTAGAGCAGAATCTCCATTTGAGTATAGAAACAATTTGAAGAGGATCTTTAAAAGAAGCTTGTGGAAGAACAATGCTGAACTTTTTATTTTCTTGCAGCTTCATTGGGTTACCCCATCCCCTGATTGGAACTACACTTTGTATGTTTCTGGATCCATTGCAGCAAGTTGTTCCCAATATATCACTATGATTGGGACTAGAATTTTGGTTGTAAAGCGATGTAGTCATTAAACAAATCATCATGTGAGTGGACTTGATTTTACAACCACTTTTACTGTGGTCATTAAACTATAGTTAAGCAAACCGCATGATTATTAAGTAAACCATGTGGTTGTTAAGTGGATCTATCTTCTTGAGTTGATTTTTCTGTTGGAAGCCAGTTGCAAACATAGCAAATTGCGATCACATAACACAAGACACTGCAGCCATCATAAATGTGAGCCAATTGCCAAGTGCCTGAATTTTGACCGGATAATGGAGGTAGTGCTATCGTCATAACTTTAAGGAGTAGTTGTAAGTTGCTTTTCCCGAGACCATAATAACTACAAACCATAATTAAACAAATGGTTGAAAATCAAGGACTACCTCTAGTAGGATTGTCTGAAAGGGAATAGGAAGATTCAATCTTCTCTTACTTAAAAAAAGCCTCTTATCCATCACCTTTTTATATGTGAATGGGGTAGACAATGAAAAAAAAAGAGGCCCCCTTTACTGCTACATTTTGTATAGCCTTTATAAACAATCCTCATACTGTTCTGAAAATCCATACCCTGATTAGGAATTTGGCAACCCTCTGGAAAAATGAAGATTCACTGCATATCATATGGTAAAAGTGAGGTGTATCTGTGTAATACATTCATTTTTCTTCATATTTTTACCAGCTTTGTACTTGATAATACTCATGTAGAAAAAGCTAAAGAATACTAATATCCTTAAACCTGATTATTAGTTGATTATCTTTACACAAACATGCAAAATGCACTATAAAATTTTCAATTGTGCTTAATTTTGTTTATAGAGCCAGAATGAAGACTGGGGAGGTTTGTCTGAGGATATCTTATGATTAAGAACAATCTAAAGCCTTAGCGCTTTGGCCCCTACCTGTACAATTGGTAACTACCAAATCTACCTTTTGGTGGCATGGATTACATTAGTGCTTTGCAGAGGTTTGCACGTGTAAAAGAACCCTTGCCTGTTAAGCAAGAAGAGGAACAGAAAGTGATGAGTAATGGACTTATTCTTTGTCATATTTGCTTAACAGAATGGACATTTGCTTTGGGTGTTCTATCTTTATTTTTCATACTAACGGCATCAATTTTGAATTGTGTGGTGCATGATTTTGTTCTAATGATGTTAATGATTTTTGTATGCTGAAAGGGCTGAAAAGATCCCCACATTAGCCAATAAACAGATCATTGGTCTGATAAAGTAGTTTAAATTATTTTCTGGAATACAGTATCTATCATGACTTGCAGCAGGAAAAAGATAAGTGTGTTAAATAGTTTAGCGTGTAAATGAAAAATGCTGCAGTATCTTATACTTAACTTAATACACGAGTGAATTGCTGACATAAATATTTGTCTTAAGGAAAAAGGATATACTTGTCCCAATTTATTTCAAAAATCTGAATTTCTTAAAATGTAATTGTGTAATTGCCACTTTTAAATCCCTTATTCCATAAAAAGGGTGCATGAGGAAAAATAATAATCTGAAGAAGATTTTAATGTAATTTATATATTTTTAATGAATTTGTGTTCCTCTTAAATAATGTGGCTTAAATGCATTAATTAAAACTAACCATATTCAGTCCTGCATTTAAAATGTCGAGAAAGCAGAAATTATAACTATCAAATAAGCACGTTTATTAATAGGTTTTTAAATGATAGAACTTTATAAAAATCCTCTTTAATCAACCATAATGACTTCAATACAAGGCTGCATGATTATACTAATATGAATAGCATCTTTCAGTTGAAATTCTCAAGCTTCTGGAATAGCTTTTCTGAAGTTGAAATAAGACAAAATTTTAAAAATGTTGATAGCAAGTGCTCTAAACATGTGGCTCTCCGTCAAAAACAATACATTGACATAATAGATTATGTACTGATATGTGCAATTATGATTTACTGGGACTGCCTCATAAACATGCATGTTTAAATACACAGTTTGACTAAACCTAAGTAATTATAATTTTAACTGATTAATAAAAGTTGTGCTTCATAGTAATCAATGTCATTTTAAACATTAATGTTGATTTAGTTGTGGACTTATAGTATGTAAAAAGGGAGTCTTAAATGTGATCAGCATGTTACATTGTGAAGTTTGTCTCAATACTGTCAGCAGTGTTGGTCTCATAGTGATTTAATATTTCATCAAGATTTGGGGGTATAGGTTATGTTTTAAAGTTATCCTACCAGATAGGGTTAAGCATAATTTTAACAATCATTTTATTTTGTTAAAATATTACCTTATATATTTATAAAATGGACAAAAAGATGCTCAGTTCTATTCAGATAAGGAGAAATCCTTGTAAAAGTTCCTGCATCCTAAAATATTTTGCTTCTTTTTAATCTCCCATATTAAATTTCCAAGGACATGCGTGTTGAAAGATAGTCAAAAAATTTAAACAGAAAGGACATGAGCAATATAAGCAAGAGAAATGCCTCCCACTATTAATTCAACAAAGAATTTGAAGTAAACGTTATTACTTATACTGTGACAAGAATATTGATTATTCTCTTTTCTTTTTCTCACATTTTTCCAAGTATCATCAAGGTACATTTGTCAGGAATGGATGGAAGTATTTCAATTTCTTGTTGGATAAATGCCTTCATTTAAATTTTGTGAAAGCAGCATGGCTTCCTTTTTAAACTTAGAATACTTCCAGTAAGGTCAGAACTACTTTGGAAGTCTTGTGGTAATATTAAAATCTTATTTTGAAATCATTGTTTTGCACACCCCTCATAATAATTACTTTACTTACATTTCACATTTTTTCCTATTGAGTAAGGATATTTATAATGGGTAATTTAACTTCTGTCCATGATAACTGAGCTTAATACGTAGAATTATTTATTTTATTTAAAAATATGTAATCAACTTCATGAAATTACTTTATTAAAACAAGAACTACAGTAAATAGAACTGTAGTATTGTAGATAACTAAAATTTATTAACAGTCATGGATTGGCATTAAGGTATAGAATTATTTGTTTGGTTAACGTAGAATAACAAGAAAACAAGTAACTATACCTTATTCACACTATTTTATGTTTTTTCCACACATGGCTTTTGTAAAAATATAATTAAACAGGCTTTTAAACTTTTTTCTCAACATAGATATAAAATTAACTACAAGTGTTCTACGACGGCATGCCTGATGAAATTAAGAATGCAAAACTCAATTCACGGTGATGCTAATTAAATATAAGACAAAGATATAGGAGGTTGTAGGAGTAGGCCTTATATGCAGTCACATTTCTATGGAAAACTTATTCATCTGGCCTAATTGACCATGGAATTAGTTACAGGTAGTCCTCAACTTATGACCACAATTGAGCCCAAAATTTACGTTGTTAAATGAGAAAGTTATTAAGTGAGTTTTGTCCCATTTTAAGTGAATCACTGTAGCTGTTAAATTAGTGACTTGGTTGTTAAATGAATCTGGCTTCCTCGTTGACTTTGCTTGTTAGAAGGTCACAAAAGACGATCACATGACTCTGCAACCGTCATGAATGCGAATCAGCATCCAAATGTAAATCACATGACCATGGGGATGCTATAATGATCATAATTGTGAAAAACGATCATGTCATTTTTTTCAGTGATATAACTTCGAACGGTCACTAAATGAGCTGATGTAAAACAAGAACTAACTGTATTTTGGATACAGAATTCACGCCCATCATCTTGAGGGTTATAAAAACCATGCCTTTTCTATTGGTGTTTCACAATTGCGCCAAACAAAGTTAATTTCCAGAATATGACCTGAGAATGCAACTGTTTCTGAAAGTGTATTATTTATCCCAGATTTTGACATAGGCCCCTACACAATACTTGCTTAGATGATTGACAGGATCTTCACCTCTTACCCTACATTTGTAATGAAGGAGAGATTATGAAATTTGTTTCTTCAGGTTTAAAATGAGAGCTTAACTCTGCTAGCTTGTCATTTGTAGCTATTTGTATTCATTATATATATAGTACATAGAAATTTGAGGTATTTCATTAAGAATAAAACTGCATCTTTTTTCTGCCCAAACCTAGGGTTTTACAATTTTCTAATTGAATGTATTTTGCTGCTTTTCACTCATTGTTTCTATTTTTCAAGATACTTTTGAATCTTAGCATTAATATTATCATCTGTTTGTTATATGTCCTAACTTTGCTTCATCTACACATGTAATATGTATATGTTCTAATCCTTCATTCAAGCACTTTTATATATGTGGAACAAATTGAGGTAGACTGGAGCTTTGTAGTATGCTGATTGATACTTGTTTCCATCTTAATGTGAAGTCATTAAGTAATATGATTGTTCAGCTAAATCTATATTTGTTTTATTTATTTATCATGCCTTTATTATTTTTTTATAAATAACTCAAGATGGCAAACATATCCAATACTTCTTCCTCCTCCTATTTTTCCCTCAGCAACAACTCTAAGGTGAGTTGGGCTGAGAATGACCGATAGTGGTACTGTTTATAATCATAGCATGTCTTGATCACATTTTATCTCTTTCTTATAATTCTCTACTAGAATCTCATGGAAGTCTTTATTGAATAGTTTTCTAAAGGCAGGGTTTGCTGTGTCTGCTATGTTTCTATGGCAATTGAATAGGACATATTTTTTTAAAAAAAGGAAAAAGTCAAGACATTCATCAGGATGATATAGAATGATTTATTATAATTAAACTTGTATTAGCTCCTGCTTACAAACCAACTGCTGAATAATCTGTCTCACTTTTGCCCTGTACCATTGTCAAAATCTCTGGTCTCTACTTACTAGTTATCTTTTTGAAGATATTTGACAGACAGACAGATTAACAGGAGTTGGAAGGGACCTTGTAGGTCATCTAGTCCAACCCCCTACTCAAGCAGGAGATCCTACACCATTTCTGACAAATGGCAGTCCAATCTTTTCTTGAAAGCAATTTAACCTTCCCAGTCCTCTGGCATTATGTCTATTCTCCATGATTTCTTTAAAATCATATATGCTCCAAAATGATATCCATACGTTCCTTCAGCACATTCATATTTAATAGATCTGCTTCTGAAGAGATAATTTAGTCATGATAGCCAATTTCTTTAGTTGCCACTCTTTTTTTTAATCTGACAACTGAAGCAAAATAGGAATAGAGGAACTCTGACCTCTCCTTTCCATAATCAGAATAGTGTGCAAGTGTTCTTGGAGCCGTTCTACAGATCCTTTGGCCTGGGGATTTCTGACCATGGGTTGCTCCCTAATACTAATTTAAGCTTTCTGCATGTATTAATTGCACTCTAATTTCTCTTTCTATAATAACTTGAACCTCCTGGAATTATGATCCCATAATTCTTACTATTTTTATCTTGTCCACTAATTCTCTTGTTGGTTTGGAACAGATCTGAAGAAGCAAAACAGATCACTGAGGGATTCTTGACAATTTATAATCTCTCTCTGAAAGTTCTGAAATAAAATAATGATAGTGCAAATGGGCATGGAGCCTTCTTAGCTGTAGGATGTTTTCTGCCTTTGTTCCTTCAGTGAAGACAGGCATAGGCTGTTAGAGATGAGTCTGTGTTGTCTGCATCTCAAACTAAAGTGCAAATAGTTCCTTTATTATACAATTTTTGTTTCTGGAAATCCGTTCATACTCCCACAGCATTAGAAGGGAGTTCATCCCAAAGTGTATAGCTAAATGTATATAGAGATTCGCTGTCATCCAAGTTATGGTTGTCCCAAAAGTGCTTTTTCAGGAGCAACTGGACCTCTGGAAAAAAATAAAGTCAGAATAATTGAAGAATTCCATCAGAATAAAATGCAAAATGTTTGAGTATTCTGACCATAAGAACAATGGGAATTCAAGACCTCATTGTTCTCTTGCTTTGATTCAAACACTAGAGAGGGTTGC